GAATTCGTCCTGACGTTCTTTATTTATTGATAAATTTGAATTGTCGACAGTTCTCAATATTCAATTGACGCTAGTGAAGAAAAAAAGCAATAAGATAAGATTATACGGAACTCTTCAGTGCTTCCGAGAGTAAAATCATTTCCATCTTTCTTTCTTCCTTCATTTTATTCTCTTACCAATCGATCTAGGTTGTTTACCTTTTTCGATAGGAATTCACTTGTTATGACGGTTAGAGGAAACCTATGATTAGTCTTGGTACGTAATCACGTTGTTCGTAGGAAACTGGCTGAAAACACTGTTAATTCAACAATTCGGCGGGAAAATTTCTGGACGGACCCAGAAATTCCTCCAGGAACTCCAGAAAAAGCAAAGAAATGGAATTCCAGAAAAAGAAGTTCTTGCGATTCTTGTTATTTGAAACTTTGCAAATACATGTAAAACGAGACGAACAGCTGAGGAATGTAGCGAGCCAGTTGTGTGGTGGAGATGTTTGGCAGCGAACCAGAACACGACCGTCTATAATTTCCATAGAAACTGAACGTCATCTTTGGTGAATGACGCCGCCCGTGTTTAAAAAACACGCTCAATGTTGATAAACATATTGATAGTGAGCCTTATCTTCAACAGGATTGCAATGTGCCTCAGTGTACACTTCACTTCTCTCCTTCCATTGAATGAGAGGCGCTTCTGGGGAGAATCGCGATCTACGGTGGAAATTTATCTTCCTAATATTTTTTAATGGAAAGAATATAGACATTTCTATTAGGGTTGAGCGACTTGTGGTTAGCAAGTTTGGTGAGTACCAAGGCGAGTGCTGATTTTACCAACACATTCCAATTATAAAAGTGGTCCTTCTCATCATTCGCTTCTTTTGCAGTCCGAATCATCAGGGAAAGTCGACATGGCACCATCAAAGTGACCCTTCAAACGTGCCAATCAATTTCACAGCTACCAAGTAAGGTCCGCTTAATAAGTTGAGAGACACCATGAGCGCCATAATTTGCGTATGAGGACCATTGTTTTCGTTGTTTCTTGGCGAGAGCGTGGCCAGTGGTACGGCACCATGCTCTGCAATTTGTAAACACATAAGCGTGCAGACGTGGGGATTCATAAAAACGATTTACACAAAGTATACGTCTATCCTGCACAGCACAGACTCTGAGCCTACCTGATGAGTCAGACGACGTTTCATTTATATATGTGACATTTCTACACTGTGAGAAATTTATGGGAATGATGTCACGGACCATAGAATCGACTTCAATGTCAACAAATGAAACCTATCGTATGGCAGCTGTACGATTACGCTGGAATCGTATATGCGCAAAGGCAGCTTTTCGATGATCTAGGCATCGTTTTTCAATCCAAAATAAGATATTTATTGCTCAATGGATTCTTAATATCAATTGCTGGCAAGTGCTCGGGGCAGTGAGTGAGTGATTCGTCGCTATGCATCACGAAGACAACGGAAATGTAATCGTGAATAGATGAGTGAAGTAACTCTGCAGATCTATTCTCTTAGATTTATAGTTCCTATATCATTTCATCTTAGTCCAGTGACTTTTCATCGAAGAAAGCCGCAGCTTATACAATTAGGACATTGAATGAAGATGATTTAAAGCTGCACAATAGTAATGAACGCATATTTCATGTAGAGTTCCCATAGGAACATTAAATGAGGTGAATTTGGGTACAAAACATCAATCATTCTTCACATTATCTCGTGAAAAAGCGGAAATGAAAAGAAGGAGAAAGAAAAGACGGTGGTTGAGAATGGCAACTTTCCACAAGGAGGAATAATGATATATATCACAACTATCTCACGAGGCACCTTTCATAAAGCTTACGCCTGGTTGGCATATCATCTTCTAAATTGATCGCTAAGGTTACGGCGATTTCGCTTTCCTCAGAGCTTAGACACGTACTATAACAAATCATATCTACTTATGGTTAACATTTCGTAAAGCTCACAAAATTGACTCAAAAATCAATCCAAATTCCTTTCTATTGAGAAAAATTCAGTGTAAGATAATATGTAAAATAGTCTTGATAGTTCATGGCAAGGCATAGTGAGAACTGACTTTTCGATTGAATAATGGCGCTGTTGTTAAGATCTTGAAAGGGTGGTAATGATATATGACAAAGGAAAATCGGAAAGAAGATTCTCATTTCAAAGTGACATGAAACAACTTATTAGATAGCTAACCTTCGCTTTGTATGAAACTTAGTGAGAAAAGATACTTAGTTACTCACTTACTTAGATGGTCCGTCTGGATTAGTTGTGCAGACCCCAACACGTATTCCAAATGGCATATTGCTGGTCGTGCTAATGGTAATCCTTAATTTCCTGATATAACCTTGCAAGGGCTTCATCAGATCTTCATGATGTTGTTTCCAAGGATGGGTTTCGGCGAGGGATCCTCGGCCGGGCTTCCTACTAGGTGATTCGGAGATGGTGTTAGACCGAAATCAAAAGCAGAGGTAGGAAAGAAAATAAACCGACCGCTCACGGATGATGTAGAAGCCAAAATCCGAGACAAAGCAAGAAGTGAAAATTCTTCCATGCAGACTTAATTAATGTTTTGAAGTTCTTGCATGAAGAATTTGAAAACTTAGAGAATAGAGCTCACAATAGTTACCTTAGCTAAATTTTAGAAATTTCGTTAACTTTTCGTCTTAAGTAACACTGATATGTGAAATTTAATAATACACGATTGCATTCGTTCAAAAAAGATTCAGAGAAAAGTACGAGCTACAGGAAAATATTATCATCTAGAGATGGTGAACCATAGAATTTAGTCTCAAACAGTCGTTTTACGAAATGGAATAAAACAAGCGAAGTGTTGAATCCACTATAACCTTATATGAACTGTTAGAAAATCAGCTTTCGATAGATCGCAATCGGAAGTGTCGTTCTGAACGGTGGCATTTCGAAGACTGCGCTGGTGTGTTCGGGAATGAAAAGCGAGTGGGTGAAGGGCGTTGGCGATTCGGAGCGGCGGTGAGATGGATGGTGCTAAATGTGAAATTGCTGGAGATCGTATCGGCGGCAGCCGATGGATGCGTGTGGGTGCAGGCGGGAGCGTTCGTTCCGTCAGCAAGCACCATCATATCGGCAATGTTGGCACTGATGGTGTAAGAGATGGTGGTGTGGAGTCGGTCATGGTGATGGCCGTGATGGTGGTGGGTGGTGGTGTCAGATAGGGTAGTGGTGATTGTGTTGAAGGTTGAGATGGTGATGGTGATATTGACGCTAGCCGTGCTTGGTGTCACGTCGGTTACTTATGAAAATTTATGCTTCGCATTCTTAGAGACTGCGCAAATTGTTGGGATCTTGGGACTTCTTGAATGATCCTCATGATCACTTCCAAAAAACGCGAACACACTTCCGTTCTCTCACTAATGACGTTTACATTCAACTCAAGAATGATTCTAATCATCTTAACATTCAAAATATTTCAAAGAAGGAAATATGAGTCTAAAATATAGCGACAAAAATATCTTGATTGATTGATAAGCATGTACGAGCTTGCCAAAACTTTGATTTCAATCCTTATTCCTATTATTTCTGAAAACTTAAAGACCGCAGACTATGATTGAAAGACACATAATAATTTGAGCGATAGTGTTGCTATGATTCTCTTCGAGTAACTGTAAGCAGCTGACGGCTTATATTTTAGTTTCCTCCAAACATGCTGAAAATATAAAAGAAAACAAGCAGAGAAGTAAGTGCAGCCATTTTTCCGTAAAATTTCTCAGGAGATATCCAGAGGCAAGTTTCTATGGAAGCGAAAGCAAACAGAAAGAAAAACTTCAGTAATGGCAACCAATCATGCCAAACGAACGAATGGGGCACAACGTTGCCTGCGCAAAAAATGGGCTTGATCATCTCAGACGAATAAGGAGAAAGTTAACTGATTTTAGAGAAATCATAGAAAAAAGATCTGCAAAGTTATGTATATATAGACATTTCATGATCGAAAATTGAGACAAAAAGCTCTAAAAGAAGAAAAAGGATTACAGAACATACAGAGTCTCCAGAATAACGACCAGTGTTCCCAGGATCTAGAGAGAAAAATGATGATTTTAGAAAATTTCCAGCTTTCTTTTCGATTTTTTCGAAAGTGTTCAAAAAACTGGAAGAAATAGCGACTAGTTACGGAGAAAAAAAACAAGAGAGTGGAACGGAAGAATGGTACTGGTTAGAGAGGAAATAGAAACAGAGGAAAACGAAATAGTGGGACAATAATGAGAATTTCAAAAAGCAAACATGGTGGCGTCGTGGAGGAATATCTGTTTGTCCTCAAGAACATATGGGCAAAATGCAACTCCGAAAAACCAACCTCTTCGTCGTCTTCGGTATGTCTCAGACGTACGTCTTCAGTGTCATCATCGTTGTTCTCCAGATTCTCGACCTCTTCACGTTCAGATGCTTCCTGGGAATCACAAATGACGTCGGTGACCGATGAGAGGATGCTAAGTGTTGTAGCAGGTTTTTCGTCGATTTCTATCGAAGATGACACTGCTGGTTTGACAAACGGAAATGAGCCCGATGGCAGCAACCGAGGACAGGAGAGTGATACTGAAAAACATTTTCATAGGATAACGCAAAATTTGATTCGAAAGGGAAAAGGATAGAAAATGAAAATAATGCAAAGGATAGGACATAGATATTATGTGGTGATATTTTTAGGCCTAGAAACTGAGAATAACCTTTACACGAAATAATTTCGACTAATCCAATCCAATTTAAGTTTCCAAAGGTGAAGGTTAGCCGAATATTATTTTATCAACAGAAAAATTTTTTTGCCGTTGTGTTGTAGTTGAGGGGCTCTTTCAAAGAGGCATAAAACGTCTGTGATACTGTACCTATACAAACAACTGTGTAGGATTGCTTCAGGAGACTTTAAACTAACGTAACAGTCATGTAAAGATACTAGAAAGGTTGGTGACTGATAGCTAACATGGAGATGTTGAAGAATGAGCGGTGGGGCAAATGTGCCTCTGTGGTGTAGTTGGTAGTAGCACGCGTTTCCGTATGGATGAAACGCGGTTCGATTCCCGTCTGAGGCCGTTGTTTTTGCTCACCACTCAATCCTCTCAGGGATATGTGTAATCTCTTAGGTAGATGTAGGTATATGTGCTCATAACACTGCGAAAAAGCATTAAAAATACTAGAATTTCGGAATACTAAAAAGTCCTCAGGAAAACCCAAAAATTGGAGTCGCTACGCATCGGCGATTACTCGATAACGCAGGAACAGCTAGCTCTTCTCTTAAAAGCTAAATAATAGCGCTATATTGTTAATGGCGCACGTTTGATCCATAGCACAGCCAATGCCGGAATACGCGTACTCATTTGAATATAAAACCGTTTGACAAACGGGCAATAGTTTGCGAATGTGACAGTGAGTGTGCAAGTTTTGTTCTGAAGTAGAAGCTGAACAGTTTGAAAGCTTATTCCACACAGTCACATAAAAATGTCCCCGTCGTTGGCAAAAGTGGAATTCTAACGTTCTTAATCTCTTATTTTTATTCAAGAACGATTGCAACTGAATATTTACATATGAGAGCAATAAACATATATGACAACCTCAGCATGCTTAATAGTGAAACTACAAAATCTGGGTGAATACCATGATTATCAAGAACGGTTTTTTTTTTCCAAAAATAAGGCATCTCTTTCGATTAAGTATTGGTGGAAATCTCTCCAATAGGGGATAGAAAAAAGCATTTTTGCTGGAACCAATTCCATGTGCGCCTTACGGCAAAAAAAAAAGCGCAAAGGCATAAACAGAAGTAAGGTTTAAATAAAACAGGGAAATAATAAACGATAGCTGAATTTAGTCGTCGGTTGAATATTCGACTCTAAATGATCCGATTACAACGAGAGCGATTGTGGAATTCGGATTACGTGGGCACAGAGTGGTTTACAAAAGTTAGAATCAACGCTAAGATTATTGAAAAATCGATATAAGCTAATTTTGACTATACAGGTCTTTCTCCACCTTATGGACTAGTCTAGCGGAGCGGAACAAGTGGTTCGGTTCAATTGCTTAGAACTGTGTGGACACTGTGACTGCAGGAAGAAACTGCGTGACAGTAGAAATTTATGGAACAATGCAAGCAATTATTTATTTTTTAGAAGAACAGTATTGGAGTGATGTTACGCAAACTGTCAAAAAAGCTTTCATGTGAAAATCTTAAACTTGATCAATTGTAATAAGTTGATTTCCAGACTTTTCGGCAGTCTTTGTTACCCAAAATGGTAGAAATGTGGAGTATTCAGCTTGTTTCTGTCGGTAACTACCACAAGCCATTACTAATGTTAAGCAATTTATGAGCTTCGGAAGAATTTGACGGCACAACGCCACTGAAAATGCCCTAAAAGGAATAAAAAGAAGAATGAAAAAGTTGTAGCAACACCTTCCAGTCAATTTTTTTGAGACCTCACATGGAAAATTCAATATAGTCTGGTAGAATATATTAAGCCTTTCATGAGGTCTGATTTGGCACTTCCAGACGTACGTTTCGGCTGTCTCGCAAGCCTCATCAGTAGCACAGGACAACTGGCTACCCTTACTTTTACAGGGCATCGACGCTGAAGAAGTTTCAGTCCAAGTCAAGTGAGATGAACACTTGATGCAGCATTTCTTTGGAGTGGTTGATTGTCGATTTCGTGGCGTACGGCTGTTTCTACTCAATTTTATTAGACCATGACAAAGTTGGAAATGGAAAAAAGGACTCTAGGGATAAAGTCTACAAAAACGCCCAAGGCGATGTAATGATGAAATCATCCGGATGTTTCCTTCTCTTCGTAGCAGTCCTCTTTTCTGGTTTCTTTCCAATACAACACAAAAAAAAAAACGGGAAATTGATGATTGTCAATGAGCGGGCATGACTGGTGCGAGACGATGACAGATTGACGGCGAACAACTGTTAATTAAAGTTGCCACGAAGGGCTAAGCAAATTGATTTAGTGGATTTATAAGCAATAAGGGGTGATTTTTTTTATTTAAATGGGAGAGAATAAACGAACAAACGAACAAGCAACCAAAATTGAAGGTTTATCGGACTTTGGCGACGACCACGATGTTGCCATCGGCCATAGAGCGAACGTGACAGCCTCATTACGAGATGAATAAGGATCAGAGAAACGGAATATATGCGAGTTCTGGAGAGATGGCAGACACCATGGAGCACACGAGAACAATTGTGCGCATTTGTGCATTCGAGTGGACGTGAAACAAAAGCTCTACGCATGAAATCGCGCATCTACACAGATTGACCACAGCATGCAAATGATGGACAGCTGATCACCACCGAGACGTTGGAGCGCCGAGTATGGACAGAGGGAGAGGCTGAGCAAGATCCAGGCGAATAAGAAGGGAAACCCCCCCCCCAGGACAGACTGAGACAGTACTTCTTGAGAACTGCTGCGTTGGTGAAAAAGTAATTGCGGTTTATGAGTTGTTAAATGCGTCGTTTGATATTAGAATATGGTCTCAGAAAAAAGTGCTATTTTATACATATTTTTATGTGCATTTCTCATTTTATATTTTGTTGCCAATGACGTGTCACTTGCTGTTTATGCTGCATTTATAATAAACTATGGGAAACATACTAGTTGCTGCAAAAGTGATTGCGGTTTAAAAAGTGTGATTCCAAAAGGATCGTAAAGCAGCAGTGACAGCTCGCAATATCAACAACTCATCTGGCCCAGAAGCTGCTGATGAACGTACACTGCAGTGATAGTACAAGACGTTTCGTAAAGTAGGTGAACTTAACAATGCATGAACCGCATTTACTTTTGTACCAGCCTCATCAGAGGGAATGGAGAAAGCAATCATCGAAGTTGATCCACTTGAAACATACGAGATGTTGCAGAAGACTCAACGTTCACCAATCTACCATTCTCGCCATTTCAGGCAAATTACAAAAGTACTTCCGGTTTCAGCATACTCTGAAACCGCATTCACTTTTGCACCAACCTATTACACAGGAAACGAAAAAGAATCGGATTCATTGCTGTATGAAGGTTGGAAAATATAACGCTGTATGCAATATATGAACAGAGGAAAACAAACAGAGAGATAGAGAAGAGAAGCTTTAACCATCAGAGAAACTGAAGTGATAAAAAAAACGACCAGAAAGTAGCTGCAATTTAGTAAACGGTAGGAATTATTGTGAAAAATCTAACAAATACTCCTTATTATGCGATACTGAAGATTTACGCAGGTTTGAGTAGATCCGTATGAGCCGTACGTTGTACGATATAAGAATTACGGGTACTTATGAGGTACGGTGTTTCTAACCTTCTCAACATGGTTCATCTCAAAACACTTGGAAGTTTCTTTTTGTTCGAGCTGTACACTAAATCTTCCGCATTTCCTCACCGCAGTAGTTTACTGCATACCCAGATCTACTCACCATCAAAGCAGAGGACAGAAGGAAAATTTTTTCGATGTGAGAACTGTAGTGTACATCATAAGTTCTTTAGGGCTAGGAAAGAAATCTTGAAATATGCTTTACACCTTCATTTTGAGGCCCATTAAACAGTAATTCAGTGTAGGGGGTACCTCCTGACGTGAAAAAGTGTCAAGTTTCCAAACCACTGGCCGGTTGGCGGCAGATGTTAAATGCCTAAGACGTCAAGCTATAACGACTAAATGGATTTCAGAATTTGGATCGTTCAACCTGCGTCAGAAATACTTATGCTCGGAGCTAAATGCCTCGCGAGGACGGACCACTTATATGTGCATATAAGCCACATTTGTAGCATTATTTTACAGTCTTCCTCTTATTCTTTATTTCACTTTGCATATTGATTGCTCTCCGTGGCCACTGTTTCATTCACCCTCATGACACACCCAATTTTATTTTATTGCCATCCACTGTTGACGTTGTTGACTATGCGGAACCTTTGTGAAGTAATAGGTGGAGACATGAACAGATGCACCTGCCTAAAGCGGAAACAATAAGTCAGACATCGTCTTGTCAATGAGGTGGATGTAAATTCGGACAATTGACGGACAAGTACACTAAGATGGCCAAGATCTATACGCTAAACTATAGCGTAAAAGCACATCGCGTGTGCACATTAAATGCGGTATCATGGCTCATTGTACCAGTTCTAAAACGAATTATCGCCCTCCAGTGAATCACTCTTCGCGATAGAGTATGGACATTTTGAAAAGCAGCCTGAATCTAACGTGATAGCCGTAGCTACATGAAGTTGGGATTCCACAGATACGTTCACCATATTATGATCCTGCAAGCATCAATTGGCCACCTGTGTAGGTAAGCGTGGAGGCTCACAATTGGTCACATGTAACTTAATTGATATGAAGCCTTAGCATCTATGCTTTAGTCAGCATGAGGGTGCCCTTCTCAATGCAACAAAGCAGCAAACTGTAGTTTATTTCTATATTGGAGTAACCAGGAATTAAAGGAATAACAATGAATAATTAATATAATAGTTACTAGAACTCTTTTGAGGCTTGCGAGAAGGCCGAAACCTACGTTCAGCATTAGAAGTGCCATGCCAGACCTCTGAGAGGTTTGAAACATCCTATCAGACATTACTGAATTTTTAAGTGAGGTCTCAAAAAAGTTGATCGAAAAGTGCTGTTACATATGCTCCATAACACCCGTAATCCATGCAATCGACAATCAATCACTCCGAAAGAACGCAACATCATATGATTATTTCACTTGACCTGTGGTAATACTTCTTCGGTGACGATTCCTTATAATAGCAGGGAGGAGCAGCTGAATGGCAAGTGGTATTGATGAAGTTTGCGAAAAAGCTGAAACGTTATGCCTACCACTAAAGATGCCCACACGACCTTCAGAAGGCGTGAAGTTCTGCTATCAAAAACTTCATCAATTTGTCTAATAGTAAAAACAGCTGAGCTTAGAAGATTGAAGAATAAAAGAAATAAATTCTAGACGACGGTTGAGATCACGGGCGGAATAGAAGCAGCGCAAAAGATCGAAATGGCTCGAGTGATAAGATCAGGAAAAAGACTTCCGTTTGGAAAACTACAGAAAAGTATGATCCATGCAGGCAGA